CTGTGCCCACACCGCTACACACACACATGCCTACACTGTGCCCACACCGCTGCACACACACATGCCTACACTGTGCCCACACCGCTGCACACACATGCCCACACTGCATCCCCACCACTGCACACACACGCCCACACTGTGCCCCCACCACTGCACACATATGCCCACACCCATGCTTCCTCCTCTCTGGCATGAGGGCAGAGAGTAATGTGAATGTGAGTGTGAGTGAGCATACCTGCAGGCTACAGGTGGGCCCTCCAAAGTTTGGCCAGAGGAGTAAGGCAGGTCAGTGAGGGTGGAGACAGTGCACAGGCAAACACAGGCTGGGCTCTGCGGCCTGCAGGGTGGGCCTTTCAGAGCCTCGGCTAGCTGCCCAGTCCTGGACACCTCAGGGCCTGGCCTGAGCCTGGGAGTGGCTGGGTCAAGTACATGGCCTGGGGTTACAAACATCCAAATGTCCTGCTCACAGCTGGGACACAAACCCAGGGGAATCCCTGCTGGGGATGGAGGACAGCAACACCATGTGACAGAAGCCATCTCGAGGACACGTGACCCACCAGGGGCAGCCGCAGCTGCTTACTCCCACACAGATCTGCAGCTCTGGCTGAGGAAATGTGTCTCCCCTCAGCCCCCTTCCCACCCCTCTCCCAAGGCTAGGGACCTCCCAGTCCTCCTCGTCCAGAGAGGCCTCTTTCCATCCCCTGCCCAGAGCAGCTGGGTCTTTGCACAGCAGCTGACGTCTCCCATACCGCACTGCTCAAAGAGGCTGCAGAACGCTGGGTCTCCGTCAGCTGTCAGCGGTCTGATGTCCCCAGAGGACTAGGCTAAGATACTCCACGTGTCATTCACTTGGAGATTTGACATCCCTCCGTGGTTTGCTATTTGCAAGTGCCCTGGGCCCTGGCTGCAGCTCGGGACTCCTAGGTGACAGTCACTGAGGCAGGAAGTGCGCAGAAGCAACACAGCCTGGGCGGCAGGGGAGGAATGGAGCCCGGGGCCCTCCATTTGGAGGAGACAGGGGAGTGGGGTGACTACCTAGGGTGTGTCCCCACCCCAAAGACTGCCAGGCCTACTGCCCTCTGGAAGGGGGGCCTGCCCAGGCCCTGCTCAGATGCTGCCCCCAGTCCTCCACCACCAGCTCTATCAATGGCTGCAGAGTCCTGCTGGAGACCTAACGGGTGCTGACATCAGTGGGGGTCATGCAGCAGCCTCTCCAGCCAGCCCTTGTTCAGATCTTCCTTGTTACTTCTTGTTCCAGGCTCCCCCAAATGCCAGTCTCCCCTCCCAGTCCCAGGGAATCCCCACTGCACTTCTTTGTAACCCGAAGGTGTTCTGCAGAATGTTGGGGTGGGAGTACTGACTGGTACTCAGAACTCTGCCTCAGGCAACCCCAGACACTCTCCCCACCCTCTCCCCACCTGTTGCCAGGAGCTGCCAAGTTCCACGACATCCTGGCAACTCTGCTCAAATGATTCATGACTTCATGAATTCCTCTGGCACCTACTCTGTGCCAGGGTGAGAGGGCCACTCCTGAATAAGGTCAAGCCTGACTTCAGGCAGGGTCTACTGGGGAGACGGTGCTGCAAAGCCAGCCTGTGAAGGCTCCTCCATGGTGGGACATTCTGGGCACCGCCTAATGAATCTGGAGGAAATAGGGGGGATTCGGTACCAAAGGTCAAAGCCCCAGCACCTGCCAGGGACCCTGAAAACACCCGTGTCAGCGTGCTAAGAGGCAAACATCTGTCACTAAACAAAACCATATTCTGCCAGCTGGGGCTGGGGGCATTAGCGAAAGCAAAACCTCCTTAGAGGTATCCGCAAATGACCCTCACTTAGAATTGCGCGGCACTGCGACGGGCGTCCCCACCCTCTCCGCGCGCGGCCACCTGTAGACAGCCAGCGGGCCGGAGCGCGGGCGCCGCCTGGGGGCCGCGGTGCGCAGCGGCAGTGGGATCCCGGGAGCCAGGCTCCCGGGTGCAACCCCACAGACACGGCATGGCGGTATAGTCGCTCTTGCCCGCTCCCCCGATGGGAACCTAACCCCACAGTTGGCGACCTTCGGGGCAGGTCCTGAGGCTGAATTTGGCCGATGTCCTTAGAGCAAGGAGCCGGCCGGTGTTGCTCAGAGAGTCCGCCCGTCCCTCGGATGCAGACAGTACGGTTTCGCGAGCCCTCGAGTGACAGTCGGTTCCCGACCGGTGTCAAAGAGGGGATAGCGGGGGCAGAGGGAGGAGCCTGTCGGGGTCCGGGCCGGGTCCGTGGAGGGAGGAAGGAGTGGGTGGAGCGTGGGGCGGGGCCGTCCCTGCCCTCTCCCTCGCCCGCTGGCCTGCCCCAGCTCACCTCTAGTCCAGGGACATGACCGGCACGCCTGGCGCCGCTGCCGCCCGGGATGGCGAGGCCCCCGAGCGCTCCTCGCCCTGCAGTCTGAGCTACGATCTCACCGGCAAGGTGGGTGGGTGCTGCTCCCAGCGGGGGACTCGTGCGGACTCTGAGGGCCGCCCCACCCCGCACCCATTTCCGTGAGACCCTGCTCCTCCGCGGGGACTCCCAGCCACGTTCTGGCTGCCTCTGAGCTAACTCAGCCCTCCCCCAAGGCAGCAGGGGTCTCCTAGAGGGGAGAGAGAAGGAAGCAGGGTCAGGGCATAGGCCTTGGGCCCATGTAACTTCTAGGGAGTTGGGGGCAGGGTGAGGGAGACCGCGAAGACTGAGTGACTCCCCATCCTGCGGACCCCAATTCAGCTTTCTTCTGCCACGCTCGCCAATACCGGTCCCCGGGAACCCGGTGCTTCTCCGTAAGGGTTAGGCGCAGAAACACCCCTCCTGCGTAGAGGCTAAGAAGTGCTGGGAATAGGGACCGCCTGGAGATCTGGAGAGGACGCCCCCTGGCGAACGAGCTACTAGCGAGTCCTTCCCTTTCCCTAGTAGCTCCCAGCGGAGACCTCGAGTCTAGTTTAAGAGCGTGGTTAGGCCTAAAACGCTAAGTCCCTCCAGCCGCCCTCACGTCCTCTCCCTTCCCGGCCCTCCTCCCCCCTCCTCGCACTGCCTGGCACTTTCCTCCCAAGCCCCTCCTCCCTGGAGGCTGCGGGAACCCGACGGATCCACCTGGGCATTTTTAGAACCTGAAAAAAATCTTAGCAGTAGTTTCCCACCTGGGAGAGCTGTAAGGACAGCTCCCTGGGGCTCCTTCCCTCTGCAGGAGTGCCCTGGATGGAAGCAGGTGGGGGTGGGGGCAGACCTTGGTCTGTCTCTCCTCCATCTGTGCCTAGGAGTGAGCAACTACCAGAAGCTCCGAAAGAGGGGCTGGGGGGCCCAGAGTGCAGCTTCCTCTGCAGGAGTGGGGTAGGTCCTGGATCGCGGTGTGACCTTGGTCTCCTCCCCCACACTGCCTCGCTGCTGCAGCGGGAGCCTCAGGCCTGCACCCCAGGGTTTCAGGGGAAGCCGCTCAGCAAGTCACCCGCCCAGAGCCGTTGAGATAGGCGCACTGTGTGGGCTCAGAGGCGGAAATGGGCCCCTGCGCCCTGAGGAGGGAGGCTGCGCCATGGCCTGCCCCAGGCTGGTGGGGACCACCTGACCTCACTGTCCTACAGTCGGCTGGGCTGTTTGCCTAGGACGTGGCCCAGCCAGGCAGCTGTTTGTTTGGTGGAATTGCCTGGCTCAGTGGATGGCTGGCATGGTTTGCTCAAGGCAGTTGTGATCTGTAATGTACACAGGCACTAGCCGGCCCTCGCCCTTTCCCCCTCCTCCCTCCACTCAGGGCTGGGACCCAGAAGGCAGGGAGGAGGGCAAGCTCCAGAGAGCTCCCCGTCCCCCACCTTCATCTGTACCCTGGTCAGGCAGCATTTGCCAGGGAGTGGTCCCTGGCCTCCCCAGGCCTGTCCCGCAGGACGGAGTCCAAGACAGTTGGGGGAGCCTGGAGGGACCAGAGTACGGGCAAGGGAGGGGCCACCTCTCATGCCACCATCATTGGCCCAAGCCATTAACCAGCTCTAGAAAGACCTGGGAGAGATTATTCTTCTGTCCTTTCTATTGTGGAAACCATGCCGTAGACAGGGGAAGGAATCTTCCCAAAGCCACGCAGCAGGCCATCTACAAGTGAGGACTCCAGTGACCTTAGACCCGTTCAGCCCCCTGCTCCCCCACCGAAGTTAGCTAATCCCGACAACCTGTCCACAGCAGGAGAGCCACAGGTCCCACAAATGCAGAGCCTTGACAGTAATTCAAACCTAGTCTAGACTCTGCGAGGGACTGTACCCAACCACGGAGTTTTCTAAGGTGTTGGTCTGGACCCCTGTTCTCCAAAACTGAGGAATGACTGCCCCCCCACTTGCCCCCTAGAGAAGACGTGCAGAGACTGGCAGGACGACAAAGGGAGGGACACACCCCACCTCCGCGTGCCCCCGGAGCTCCTGCCTACAGTGACCCATGGCTGCCAGTTCCTGGCAGTTTGTCCCACTGGGAGGTTTCTGCTGAAAGAACTTTAGACTCAATGTCTCGTCGCCACTTCAGTGTAAATTTCAATCTTCCCTAATTTGTGCTAACCTTTTATATACACAAAGCGTCATTAGACGCTTCCAAATAAACACGCTGATCCAAAAAGAAACCCAAATAACAGTCAGTTTAGAATATGTAGTGCGGGCCAGCAGATGGCGTAGTAGTTACATCGCCCATCATGGTTCCAGTCTCAGACTCCGTGGTTCGAAACTCACACCGAGTGCATGTGCGTGTGCAAGATCCCAGGAGGAGAATGGAGAAGGGATTGCAAGTGGCTATCCCCCATGGGGGGTGATTTCTCACTTTTCTTGTCATGATCTCTCTCCCTCTCTCCCTCTTTCTCTCCCTCTCTCCCCCCCTCCCCCTCCCTCTCTCTCCCCCTCTCTCCCTCCCTCTCTCTCTCTCTCTCTCTCTCTCTCTCTTCACTGAGCACATGCAGCTTAAGAGAAAACCTCTTCAAAAAAATTCATAGTACAAAGGAAATGGCCCCACCCACCCTGTCAGATCCTAATAGCCAGTGGCTGGGAATCCCTGGGGGCGGGGTGTCAGGACTTCCCTGACCCACCTCCCAGTGGAGCCCCACCCACACGTGCAAGCCCGAGTGGAATGCACCTAAAACAGGCAGTGGGCAAATGTGGCCGGAATCTGGACCATGGCCACGTGTGGTTCTCTGGAGCCACGGAGCACAGAGCGACTTGTAAGTGGTGAGGGCTTAACAGAGCTTGCAGAGCCCTTAATGAGGGCAGGAGGGGCCGGAGGAGTGCCTGGGAGGTGGAGCCCGCACGGGCAAGAGGAGAGGCTGGGCGAAGGCAGCTGCCCTTTCTCCTGCTCTGAGCCTCTTTCCAGGGCATCTCTTCCTGAAATCCCGGAAGCTCGCCTGACTCCCCATTAACTGCCTCTGCCCATCTCCTAGGTGATGCTTCTGGGAGACTCAGGCGTCGGCAAAACCTGTTTCCTGATCCAATTCAAAGACGGGGCCTTCCTGTCCAGGACCTTCATAGCCACGGTCGGCATAGACTTCAGGGTGAGGTGGCTGCAGGCTCCTCCCAGCGGCAGCTCAGGGGCTGCGGCTCAGGCACGGGCTGGCCGTCCTTGCCCACCCTGGCTCCCAAGGACTCCTGCACTCACTGCCTGGAGGGCACCACAGGTGCCTCCCAGGACCACCACAGAGGTAGCCAGGTTAGGGGACTCTGGGTAGAGGTGTCCCCTTGCCTGTTACAGGATATGGGAAATGACACTGAGTCTTTCTGCCCTCCACTCCGGGGGCTGCCCCAGAGCAGGGCAGAGTTTCCCACAGTACATACGGAGTCTCATAGCCCTCGGGGCCCCTTGCTTGCTTATTCTGAGTTGGGGCCCCTTTGGCAAGGCCTCGAGGTCAGCCCATTTTCTGGAGTTCCCAGGAAGCACAGCTCTGCACGGCCAAGCAGCTCACCAGGGTCCCTTGCTGGCATTCAGTGACTCTGTCTTTAAATCTGCATCAGAGGTGCTGAATGCTGCACACCCAAAGGCCTGGGAAGGGCCTGATCCTGGCAGGTGGGGCCAGGCAGAAGCTTGGCACTGCCTTCTGAGTAACCAGAGAGCTGAAGCTTCAGCCAGAGACCTAGGGGGCGGCTGCAGGGAAGACGGCCCTGTGATCTCACCTCTGAGGTCTCCGGGGCTCAGAGACAGCTCTGGGGCTGAGCTCAGGTCAGGTGGACTGAAGTGGGGAAGGGCCAGGGCCTCCAGCGCCTAGCCCTGTGCAGCCTGCTGCATCGCGGGGAGCCAGGCAGGGTCTCGGCTCCCTCGCTCTGCCTTGTGGTGAGACAACAGATGGAGTCCTCAGAAGACAGGACTCTGCAGTGAAGGGGTCTGGGCACAAAGTCCCCTCTGCCTTGATGGGGTGATCTGGCTGAGACTTCATGGGGCTCAGCACACCCCTCTAAGCCTGGAGAGGGGCCAGGATGAGAGGTCGGAAGCCAGCCTCTCCCACCTGCCCACCCTCTTCCCTTCTCTTTCAGAACAAGGTGGTTACCGTGGATGGTGTGAGAGTGAAGCTGCAGGTGAGACCAGAGGCTGGGCTGGCAGAGGGAGGATGGGGGGGGTCTCCCTGGCTCTTCACCTTGAACCACAGGAGGCCTGTGGCCCTGCCCTCAGCCTGGGGTAATTTCCTGTGGGGCCCATGGAGGAAATGGCTTTTGTTTGTTTGATGTCTGCAGAAAAACCAGTTCCCAGGCACCTCTCTGCTCTCAAAGGCAGCTCAAAATGCCTTCAGACAAACTTAGGCTCCCCCTTCTCCTCCCAGTTTCCTGGGCTCGTCTGCCCTAAGAGGCTGGACAGCTCACCCTGGTTGGGGTAGTGGAGATGGCCCTGGACGAGCATGAGAACTCAGGGACGGTGACTGTCCGGGTCAGCAAGTATGCAGGAGGCCCTGAGAACCTACCGAAGGAAACAGCCCCACCTTCCCATCCACATGTCTCATACCTCAACATAGTCCCCTCCACCCAGTCCAGCCCCTGCACCCTGCCTCCTCCTAACCAGTTCTGCATCCCTTCTTAGATCTGGGACACCGCAGGGCAGGAGCGGTTCCGCAGCGTCACCCATGCCTACTACCGAGATGCCCAGGGTGAGTGCCTCGCACCGTCTGGCCCTGCCCCAGCTCCCTCAGCACCCATGCCGCTGCTGAGTGCCCCTGCGGTCTCTCTCTCCCCTTCAGCCTTGCTCCTGCTGTATGACATCACCAACAAATCTTCCTTTGACAACATCAGGGTAGGTCCTCCAGTCCCCTGTGCTCCCACCCACAGGTAGCCAAAGCGGGACCTGTGCAGGCCAGGATTGCTTCCTGCTCCATGAGAAAGGGGCAGAGCATGGAATCCTGCGGCCTTCTAAAAGCACAGGGTGGTGACTCAGAAGTAATATGTGTATTTGATTGCCTGGGCATGGAGACCAAGTGTCCCTGTGATTCATGCATGTGTCTCACGTCAAAGTGCTCAGAGCAGCCCCAGCTCCACCCTGGGCAATTATCCACAGAGACCAAGAGGGGGGGACCCAACCAGAAAAGTTCACACATACATCCAGCCCAGGCTGCCAGAAAGAGACACGGGCAGAGTGAGTGAGTGGCCGTACTCCCTACCAAACTACTGGAGAGTAGAGAGAGTAATTCATGTGCTCCCTGACCTCCAGGACAAGCATACTGGAGAAATAAAGCATATAAATATGAAAAGGATGAAAAATCCATGGCTCTCATACTGCCACCTCCACCCACTGTCCATGACAGACATCACCAATCAATCCCAGTTTTTTCTATCACAGAGTTCTTATGTGGCCTGAGACTTCTTGTTGCTAGTGACTCCCAGTTGAATTGTGAGAGAGGGAAAGCTTCCAGGCCTTCTCTATCCACCATAGAACTCAGGCTGGTGGGGGTGGAGGAGCACCTTCTTTTGGGCGATCAAAGGAAGCCACCCAAGAGAGGCCAGAACAAAGACACAGATGAAAAAATGCATGGGGCATCGTGTTCAGAGGACAGACAATCTGGAGATAATCCAGCAGGTCGGAAGGAAGGGTGAGAGGGAGGAAGAGGCTGGCCTGGTCCCAGCCTTGGCCCGGCTCAGCTGCCCTCTCCCACAGGCCTGGCTCACTGAGATCCATGAGTATGCCCAGAGGGATGTGGTGATCATGCTGCTAGGCAACAAGGTGAGTGGCTCTGTCAGGGCCAGCCCACCCCATCCCTCCCCTCACTACAGCATTAGCCCCTGCCCCCTGCCCCAGAGCCACCCAAGAGGAGTTACCTGGACATCCTTCTAGATCCACGGTGGCCCAGCCTCTTCGTCCCCGTTACTCCATAGTAAACAAGATCACAGGTCAGGGACTAAGACTGTAAAGGCATAGCTCCAAGTACTGTCACCCATCTGAGACTGGGTCACCACACCCTTTGTCTAGGAGTCACCTGCCTCCCAGAGCGAAGGCTGGGTGCCTGGTAACAGCCTGAGTGGGGCAGAAACCCTGCCTCCAGGCCAATCGCACCTGCCCACAGTCCCTCAAGCCACCAGCAGGGGGCGGACAGTGCCTGCTCTGGGCAAAAGCTGGGCCAGCTGGGGTTGAGGCTTCCTTCCCCAGAGTGACCCACATGGGCTTGACAGGCGGATGTGAGCAGTGAAAGGGTGATCCGCTCAGAAGACGGAGAAATGCTGGCCAGGGTAAGTGACTGCCTGTAGACTGGGGTGAAGGGTGGTGGCAGCCAGAGGCTAGCCCTGAGGACATTCTCTCTGGGGCAGGAGTACGGCGTTCCCTTCATGGAGACCAGTGCCAAGACCGGCATGAACGTGGAGTTAGCCTTTCTGGCCATTGCCAAGTGAGTGCGCAGCAGGGACGGGACGGTGCAGGTCAGAGCGGCCCCACCTGGGAGTCCACACTGTGTCCTGCATCCTGAGGTCCATTTGCCCCAGGCCATGGGCATGAGGGTGGGGGAGTACTCATCTTCGCAGCCCTGTCCAGCCCGGCCCCTTGCCTCTTCCGCTTCCTCTCCAGGGAGCTGAAGTACAGGGCTGGGCGGCAAGCCAATGAACCCAGTTTCCAGATCCGAGACTACGTGGAGTCGCAGAAGAAGCGCCCCGGCTGCTGCTCCTTTGTGTGAATCCCAAGGGGCTCAGAGGAGACGCTAGAGGCTCATAGGGATGCAGCCGTCTCTCCCAGACCTGGCTGGGGGACCCAGAGCACTGCCCTTTCACAAGGAAGCTGGACTCCAGCCCCTACCCTCGTTCTTGTAGCTTCCCTGACCCAGGGAGGGTAAAACACATTTTCTTTCATTGAGATAGAATACCAAACACGGCACCAGGGTGTCCAGAAAACTGAGACAGGGGTCTAGTGGTCCTCCCACCTAGAGGTGACAAGGGTGGTCTTACTCCAGCCTAGCTCCAGGGGATACTGATGCACTTCTAGGGTGAGGCTGGGGCTCTTTGTGACCTCATCATCACCCCCTCTTCAGCTGGAGAGAGGCTGAGCAGACCCCAGCCTTTCCGAGGGAGAAGGCCCTTGTGCTGGGTGCCAGACCAGAGCTCAGGGAAGAAAAGGGAGGGAGCCCAGCCCTGGGAAGAGCAGCGAGAAGCTGGGTCTGGCAGGCTATGGGCTACGTCTGGCTTTACAAACCCCCATCCTGGGACACGCCCCTGTTCCTCCAGCACACAAGCACACTGGGGCACCTGGAGATATTAGTCCCAGGGGAACCCCTTCCCCAAACCCCTGTCTTATCTACCTTTCTACCTGTGTCCCAGACCCCTGAGGGGGTTAAGAAAAGGTTTTTCTTCTTGTCCCAGTCCTTGGGCAGGTACGTGGCCACACAGGCAACTTCCTCAAGCGGCTAGAGTGCTTTCTCTCTGCTGGGTTAAGAACCACATAAAGAGAAGCCCCTGGCTCTGTGGACGGGCTGGAGGGAGAACTGCGCGAATCTCGCCCCACGTGGATCTCTCTAAGCATCTCCCTAAACCCACGCTCTGCCTCCTCCTGAATCCCATGACCTTTTCTTTGACTTCAGCTTTCTCCTCCTGAGTCAGGTTAGAGTGGGAGGTCATCCATTTCTAGGTAAACCGAGGTCATGCTGGCAAGCCTGGAGTGGGGAGAGGGGCAGCACAGAGTTCTCCTGAGGCCAAGGTCAGTTTCCCAAAGCCCTGAGTCTTCTGTTTGCAGTGGACAGAAGCTATGCAGGGCATGACCTAGGGGCACCTTTCCTCCAGCTCCGCATGCCGGGGCAGGGAAGGGGAGTGAAGAGGAAGTACACACTGCACAGTTTTGAGGTCTCCGCACTTGCTTTCGAGGCAGAAACTTTGCTTTCTGAGCAACCGGCTCACACTTGGCCCGATAAGGAAACTGCAAGGCCTCTCCCCAGGCAGAGCAGGGCGGAGCCTGACCTTTCTGGTCTCTTCAGGGCACGTGGCAGGCTGCAGGAGCCAATCACATAGACAGCTCAGGCCCTCTAGCATTGTGTTTTTCAGAATTAAATGGCAGTATTTTGGAAAGTATAGCTCGTCTGCTGTTTCTTTGCAGTGGGAGGGAGGATCGCGTTGAAGGGATTGTTACAGCATGTGGGGAGGACTGTCCCTGACTGCCAAATGTCCCAGAATGGTCACCTCACCCTTAACAGACTGCTGCCCCCCTCCACCCTCTGTGACCACCTCTCATTGGGCAAGAGGGAACTGGAAGGCTTATCTTACAGCCCTAATCGTGTTTTTCTCTGTTGAAAAAAGCCAGGGCGCCCGTCCCTGTGGAATGCCCAGAAGTCGATTCCCCCAGTTCTGCCACTTCCCACCCCAGCCCTAGTCAAACCCTTATGTCCACGCCATCGTACCAGGTGGCCTGGCTACCCCAGAAATATCAGGCTCTCTCCTGGACTTTCACGTCCTTCTGACCCCTAAAAGCAGGTCCTGGGACAGCGCAAAGTGACTCCACAAACGCAAAAACAGTGTCTGCCGAAACAATTGCGCTAGGTCCTCGGTCTGAAGACCTCGGTCCCTCGCTACCCCGGGCGGGAGCGTTTTCCCTAGCAACAGTGGCCCGTCCTCACCCTCAACATAGCTGCACACCAAACTGGCTAAAGACGTTAAAACATTCGGGTCCTTCCACCAACACGGGGAGAAGGGCAAGGTGGATCAGTTCATCCCGCTGGTGGAGCCCAGATGGCTCTCCCATCTCTGCCGACAGTGGGAGAAACCAGGACGTAGCTGGCGATCCCCCACCCCACACCGGGAACTCTCCGGCGGCTCCGCCCCTCCCGCCCCAACTCCGGCCACTTGGTAACAAACACTTCCACTTCCTGAGCCCTCTTTCTTCGCCAGCCGCGGGGCGCCTCGCCGAGCACAAGCCCCGCCTCTGCGAGTTTCCTATTCGCTGGGGGCGGT